CTAGTGACCACCCTCACAGTCAAGTTTCCCCTTATGGCCCACATCCAATACAAGGCCTCTCTGTAATAACAACCCAGCAAGAAATAGTCTTTAAAAAAAAAAGGGCTGCACCATTCTGTAATCACACTTGGCGTGTCTACACAAGACACTTTACTGCACAGTAGACCAACTTACTGCACAGTAAGCATCATCGTCTACATGTGCAGATGCTTACTGTGCAGTGCATTTGCAGGTAGCAAGTTAACTGTGGAGTGGGTAATGTGCAGTAAGGCATATGTAGACAGCCATAACCAGGAGTAAATTTGCTCCTGGTCAGCTGGGCAGCAGGGGGCAAGAGATTGCTTCCTGCCCCCAGGAGCTGCCTGCTGCCAGGGCAGGCTCTGATGGTGCAACCCAGGCTGGAACAATGTCCCCCTGCCCCAGCAGCAGGGAGCTCCTGGCCCTGGCTCCATGATTGGAGTGAGGGTTGAGAGATTGCTCCCTGCCCAAAGGAGCTGCCTGCTGCTGGGGCAGGCTCCGATGGTGGAGCCCAGGCTGGGACAATGTACCCCTGCCCTGGCAGCAGGGAGCTTCTGACCATGATCAGGGGCAGAGCACTGGGAAAGAGCTACGGGGGAGGTGCAGGTCCCAACCCCATGTCCTGATCGTGGAGCCAGGGCCAGGAGCTCCCCTCTGCCAGGGCAGGGGGACATTGTTGCTTACCCCTGGGAGCTGCCTGCTGCCAGCGTGAGCTCTGATGGTGGAGCTTGGCCCAGGACAATCTCCCAGCCCCCACTCCAATCACAGAGCCAGGGCTGGGAACTCCCTGCACAAGGAGAGTTCCCTGCTCAGCCTGGAGCTGGCTGGGACCTGCCCCGGACCAGGATAGTTCCTGGCCAGCCCTGGGCTGCACAGGAAAGTCTGTATGTGCAGGCTGGAGCTGGCTAGGAACTGTTCTGTTTTGGGGCAGGTCCCAGCCAGCTCCAGGCTGCATGTGCAGACTTCCACGCACAGCCCTGGGCTGGCTAGGAATTGTCCTGGTCTGGGGCAGGTCCTAGCCCCGCAGCTCTTTACCATCCCCATGCTTGATCGGGTGATTGAGGCATGAGGCTTGGACAGAGCTGTGTGGGAGGGGCAGGTCCCATTCCCCAATCCACCAGTTGGGCAGCTAGCAGCAAGCCCCTGGCTGAGTGACGAATTCCTGCCCAGCTGGGAGCTCACTGCTAGCTGCCCCACCAACAGTGGGATAGCTCCAGCCACCCTCAGCTGAGCGGGGAATCCCCACCTAGCTGGGGCCTCACTGCTAGCTGTCTCATCAGTGGATCCTGCCAGGGGGCTGGGACCTGCCCCTCCCCAGCAGCTCTTCCCCAGCCCCCTGCCCCTGATCATGGAGCCAGGGCCAGGAGTTGTCCACTGCCAGGGCAGGGGGACATTGTCATGGCCTGGGCTCCACCACTGGAGCCTGCCCCAGCAGCAGGAAGCTCCCAGGGACAAGAAGGAATCTCCCTGCCCCCACCAGGAGACTGCTGTTTCCTGGCCCTGTGCTTCCTGCCAGCCCCTGGGCTAGCGTCCAGGGGGAGCCTTCCACAGGGGCACTCCCGACACAAGATGCAAACTGGTCGAAGCGGGGTGACGGGCCCCCCGGTGTTTGGCGAGGTGCCCATATAGTGCCGTTTCTCTGGTTAGCCAGCTTACGCTGGTCACCACTTCGCAGAGCCGCTTCACCCTTTTCCATACTTCCTTGGCACAGGTGCAGAGCCAGAGGAGGCAACCGATTGTCTCAGTGGCCCCATGGCAGTTGGGCCACGGGTAGCTGGTTTCTTCCCAACTGCCCCTCTCTATGTCTGCGGGCCCTCACTAGTAAAGCTTGGTGGGCTATGAGCCAGTTCAGGTCCTTGTGATCTTTTCGCAAATCCTTGTGGTGGTTGCACTCCCACATGGCCTGGCACGCGTCGCCCAGGAGCAGGTCCATGGGCAATGTGGTGTCCCTTAGTCTCACCATCTCCTGGATCTTCCTGTGGTTTCTCACAGTTGTTGGGCCTGCGTTCTGCAGGCTGTACAAACTGCGGCACTAGTTCAGGGTCTCGTAGAACCAGGGTGCGCCCATGATCCACGGTCTGTGGTTGGTCGGGGTGAATACCCCACAGTATCCCAGGCAGATCCACACTTCAGCCACACCCTTGTCAGCAGCCTCAGCCAGGAAGCCAAGGACTAAGTGGCACACAGAGACTGAGCTCCCCTCCTCATTCGTGGAGATGTTTGCTCCAGTCAGAGAGGAGGGACACTAGTAGGACAGTGTGGAAGAAGCTGTCATTACTTGCTCCCATCAGGACTGTAGGGAGTAGGAGGAAACACTTTTCTAGGCCTCTCCATCTAGCACCTAGCAAAGTGCAACTCAGAGTGCTGCACCCAACTGAGCAGGCAAAACCAGGGCTGAATTTGCATCAACTTGTGCTTGCTTCCACATCCCACTGAATCTCCTTCCTTCACAAGGCAGTGCTTGTGGGAAGCCCAGCCAGCTTTATAGATATATATGCAAGGCAACTGTTACTTTGACTTAAGCAAGGTTTGGTTTTACTGACTTCTAGGACAGAGCAATCCACCAGCTTCCAGAGCTAGAGCAACATCATGCTATCAAGGCTAACAGGGCTTAAAAATACCTGCTATAAAGGCTACCACCCACCTATTTATATTTTACAGAGAGCTTGTGTATCCCCAGAGTGACCCTGATGTGGGCTGCAGGCCAGGTGCACCCCACTTAGCTCTCTCACGTGACTGGTCATTGCATGGCCTCCTGGGTATAAGGTCCCAGCCCGTGTTGCTCCCAAAGCACGCATGAAGGCTACATGGAGCTGCAGCCCTGCAGAAAGAGGATTGCTGCAGTAGGCCTAATGTTGTCTCCCAAAAATGGATTCAATTCTGCTTCCATTCAAGTCAATGGCAAAACTCCTACGATATCTGTCTGCACAGGATTGGGTCCTATTAATGCCCATGGTCTTTGATGTTGTAATCCTGATTGGGAGGCCCTTTACAGGTGTTCAGTTGTTGAGTTGATGACACGGAGTTGTGCTTTAGCATGTAACAGTTAGACCAAAAGAAGGGTGTCATCTTCTTCCTAAGTGATCTTCCTGTCACCACCAGCCAGAAATTTGGCTATGCCGATGACTTGGCACTTGCCACTCAAGAACGGACTCAAGCTGAAGTCCAGACAAATATTTGTGAAGACCTCCAGTTACTTGAAGAATATTTCATGTGTTGGAAACTCCACCCAAATCCAAGGAAAACTGTCATCACATCATTTTATCTAAATAACTCCCACGCCAACCGGAAACTCACCATCACTATCTGTGAAGAAGAGGTTAAGCATGAGAAGTTCCCAGAATACCTCGGTGTAACTCAGTTGGAGCCTCATCTTTTGTGAACATCTACAAAACATTGTTAAAAAAAAAAAAAAAAATGAAAGCATGAGTTAACCTTGTCCATAAACTGGATGGAACAACATAGGGAGCAAATGCAACCATGCTTTGAAAAGCCATTCTAGCACTTGTTTTCTCTGCATCAGAATATTTCTCCGCAGTCTGGAACAAAAGTGTGAACACAAAGATTGTTGATACACAGTCAGATGCAGCTATGCAGATTATATCAGGAACACTAAAAAGTACGCCATTGCCAAGTCTTCTAGTCCTAGTGAACATTAATCCCCATGTGTGAGGGAATACCATAAGGCCATCAGTAACCCAAACCTCTCCATCAATAAGGACAATCACCACGCCACCACCAGAAGGGTTTTCTATATTTGAACCTTCTGGAAATACATCAAGAAGCTTTATGATGATAAAAAGAGCACTGAAGAACAATGGAGGAAAGCCTGGGCAAATACCAGCCTGCCGCAGAAATATATCATCAGTGACCCTACAATCCTCCAGCCAGGATTTGACCTACTGAGAAAGATCTGGTCCTCCCTGAATCGCATCTGGACTTTTCATGGAAAATGTTGACACCTACCCCATAAATGCAGAATCAAAGAGAGTCCGGATTGTGAATGTGGTGTGATTTCTCAGATCATTCACAATGTTGCATCATTGCCCAATCAGTTCATTTAATGGCGATCTAAAAAAATCAATCCATGCAGCTACCCCAGAAGCACTTAAATGGTTATCAAATTTAGATTTTAATCTATGAATGTTGTAATCCTAAAAATGTCATATGAATGAAGAAGAATGCCTTTGATTTCGTAACAAGTGGTTGCTTGGCCCCTCAAGAAGTCTAGGCACCTCTGCTATTGGGTTCTTACACTTGACCACCTCCTGCAGGTAAACTGGATTATGCAATATCTCCTGAAGGAAGTGGTGCCCTGAGAACTTAATCCAAGGTCCACTGAGGTCAGGGGAATCTTTCTGTTGCCATCACTGGGTTCTCAGGACTCTTGTTGCTTAATGGAAATCTGCACTGTCAAACCTGCTCTTGGAAACAATCCTGCAAAGGGTAGGGGGAAGCTACGTGCCTCAAGCAGTATTGCCCTCTTCATGTCCTGTGATAGCAAAGAAACCTGATGGCTTTCAGCCCTTGCTATTGGCATGAAGGGAGTAAAACAGCACTGTGGCCCCAGTGTGAGCACTGCTTCGGCCAGTGCAGGTTGTGCTTTCCCAGGGCATTGAAGTGATTTATGGGCATGTATACGGAGAGACCTCACCAGGCAGTAGGTGTGAAGATTAACTGTCCCAGACAGATGCAGTACATTAAGCATGTTTTCAGCAATCAGTGGTTATTTATTTTGCTGAACAATAAATCATGGCCCGTCAATGAAATTTATCTTGGGGAACCTTCAGTAAAAAAAATGCTACTTTTCTTTTCCTTCAGTGGAAAAAAGGCTGTAAAGACTCCTTGCCTGAGAGGGAAAAAGATGGCCCAGCCCAAGGTTATTTCAAGAAAGACATCTTATAATATTTCTTTGTGGAGATGAATGTTCTGCTATGGCCAGGGTTTCACAGGAGTTCAAGGCCATTTGCTGTGTAGGTGGATGGATTATGGTGGTAAACCCTTCAGAAAATTTTGTCCTGTCATCCAGGAACTGAGACATTTTACATACCCAGACACAGGGACTCCAAAAAGAAAGTCTTTTTTTTTTAAAACCTATTCCACCAGTGTATGTAGAAACACAGATTATTATGGTATTGATGGCAAGTAAGATTTTTTTTCCCAAGGGGTGAAGAATGTAGAATGCCAAGTTCCAATGAAAGTCAATGAGATGCAGGCTCCTAGGAAGAGCTGTCCTCTTGTTCCTTTCAGTATTTCTTTTAAATATAAAAGAAATATATACATCATATATAAATCAATATATAAATACATTTCTGGGAAAATTGTTTTACTAGAATCAACATCTTCATTCAAACAATTTTTGGCAGGAGGTCATGTGGTTTGGCAAAACAAACAAAAACGGCATTAAAAATTCCTCCAGGTCTTCTTGGTCCCAGAAGAGCTATTAAAAAATTATCCTACCTGGCATCTCATGAAGACCTATCAGCTGATCACAACGGACCCAGTGGGTTTTCTTTGAGCAGATTCTAATCCAGCTGGATTTATACTGTAGCCACCAACTAACCTTTGTTTTCCTGGCACAACACTTAATGCTGTCTCCCCAAGTCTCCTCAGTGTTCTTCCACTTGCAGATGAGTTGGATTCTACCTACCCAGTTATAGTCCAGAAATTAGAAATAGGAATGACCAAATGTCATAGCTGCTAAGGGCTGGAAGGGTCCTTACAGATTGGGTCCAGCCCCTCTGCACTTGGGCAGGAAAGACTGCTGGGATCAGATGACCCCAGCAAGGTGGGTGTCAAGACACTTTCTGAAGATCAACAGGGTGGGTGACTGTACCACTTCTGTGGGGCAACTTGTTCTAAACCCTCGGTATTCAACTTGTAAAGAAGTTTTTCCTTATGTCTAGCCTGAAGCGATCCTCAATCAGCCTGTGCCCATTATTTCTTGTCCCTCTGGGGGGCCTTGGTGAACAGATGCTCCCCCGGGCCCTGATATACTTATAGGCTGGCACCAAGTCTTGTCTGAGTCTTCTTTTCTCCAGGCTGACCAGTCCCAAATCTTTCAGCCTCTCCTCATATGACCTGGTCTCTAGGCCTCTAATCATGTGTGTGGCCCTCTGAACTCTCTCGAGCTTCTCCACATCCTTCCTGAAGTGCGGCACCCAGAACTGGATGCAGAACTCCAGCTGCAAAAGGAGGATTACATCTTGCTCAAGATACCTCGGTAGATGCATGCCAGTGTTTGATTAGCTCTGCCAGCTACAGCATCGCATTGGTGGCTCACGTTGTCTATCATGGCACCCAGATCTCATTCAGATGTGGTGCTGACAAGCAGAGCACTGCCAAGCCTGTAAGTGTGTCATGGATTATTTCTCCCCAGCTGGAGAACTTTACATTTCTCCATATTAAACGACATCTGGCTGAGGTCCACCCATCTCACAAGCCTATCCAGGTCAGCCTGTATTGCCAACCTGTCTTCAAGCGTGACCACACTCCCCCATAGTTTAGTGTTGTCAGCAAACTGTGCTAGTTCACTTTTAATACCCGAATCCAAATAGTTGATGAACATGTTGAAAAGCAGTGGTCTGAGTACTGAACCCTGAGGGACATCCTCTGCCAGGATGACTCAGTTCCGTCAATCAATACTCTCTGGGTCCTACCACAGAGCCAATTACCTAGCTACTGGACCATAAAATAGTTGAGGCCACATTTTTCCCAATTTTTTCATGGGGACTTCATGGGAGACCAGGTCAAAGGACTTTTTGAAGTCCTGGTATATGACGTGGATCTCATTTCCCCCATTCAGGTGGTGAGTAACCTGAGCATAGAAGGAAATGCTGTCAGTCTGGCATGATCTTCCCGTAATGAAGCCATGTTGGCTATCCTTCAGAATACTGCCTTTTGCTAGCCTGTCTGTAAGGGCCTCTTTGATCATTTTCTCCAGGATTTTACCAGAGATTGAGGTCAAACTGATTAGCCTGTAATTTTCTGGGTCCTCCTTTATTTCTTTCTTAAAAATAGGCACCAGGCTGGGCTTTTTCCAATTTTCTGGGAACTCTCCCAAGTGCCACGAGTCTTCAAATAACTTTGCCATCAGTCGCACAATGACATCAGACAGTTCTTTTAGCACCCTCAGGTGTAGTTCATCTGGTCCTGCTGACTTGTAGATATTTAACCTTTGTAGGTGCTCCCTCATAACATCTATGCCAACTATGGGGGGTGGTCACTCCCACCATGATCATCCTGTATCCTGTCAAGCAGTCTAGTACCCTTGGACTGGTGGAATACTGACATGAACGAAATAAAATACTGGTAGATGCAGCTGCAGTCTGAGGACTTGAGATCTTCCTAATTTATATTCCCCAGCCACCAGAGAGCAAGACAGTTATGCACACATGGGCATGGTGCATTCTACCTGGCCAATAGCAGTGGTAAGTCGTGGCTGCTTCCTGTGATACTGTAATCCCTTTCACTACTTATCTGTTAGGACTGAAGCACTTTGGGCAAGAAGCAGTTTCACTCTGCACCTGTACAGCACCCAGCACAACAGAGCACCAATCTCAGTGGGGGACTCTAGCCTAAGCAGATCTAGGATTTTGAGAAGGGGGATGCAGATGATGTGGTGTGTCCTCACATATTTTTCGCTATAGCATTTACTTTCAGATTGAAGCAAAAAACATATATAACTTTATTGAAATGTGCATTAATTTCCTATATCATGTCACACATAAAAAAACACAACTAGGCAAAAATAAGCAAAAGATATTGTTTCATTAGTCCTGTAGTCATTAGAATTAAAATGTACATCTCTTCCAGACTTGTTAAAAAAAAAAAAAATCTAGCCTTCTTGAGCATCTTGACAACACACCTAATACTTCACCGAAAGTTATTTCCACATCTGAGTTAATGTTCACCTGAATTAACATTTCCACACCTGGAGTTAATGTTTTTAGCTAGAGTTAAAAAACAGTCTGCAGAACTGTTAAATAGGAGTTACATTACCAGGAGCAGCTAACAAGCAGCAGAATTGCAGAAGAAAAGATAGCTTGATTAGTGGAACATCAAGATCATTAAAAAGGAGAAAGTCTAGTTAACCCCAATGGGACTAAGAATTTAGAAGGAATCAAGTAGATTACAATGAGCCATCAAGTCAAGTAACTCCCTCACTGCTGCCTGAACAGAAATGTTGATGCTATTGCCAAGCAGTTGGTTTTAAACTTAGGGTGGAATCAAAGAGGGGCGCAACTACACCAATTTCCCCCACCTACAATCCACACCTGGACTCTGCACAACGTCTAGGTAATGTTAATACACACATTTTTATTTAAAATGTAACCAGAATTGCAGGCCAGGTATCCAGATGGCAAAGTATTGTCAGTCACAAGAGCTTAATTGCAGACTTGCAGTAACAATGGACTACCATTTGATAATAAATGCACTTGTTTTTGTCCTCTTTTTGTATTAGGAAGAAGCAAACACTTATTCTCCTAACTAAAAAAAACTCCCTGCTAAGACATAATCAGATCACAGCCACTTCCTTCAGATATTGGTGTTCAACTGCTCTGGAGTCTGCCCAAGGCTAAAACAGCCTAGTTTGGTCTTTTTCTGGACAGGGATAATTATATTTTCAATCCTGACATGTAGTTTATCATTATCAGCCTTAAGCTCAGAAAGCTATTATGAAACTGGGATCTAGCCCCAGATCCCAAGGGTGTGGGGAATCTGCTACCAGTGTTTTCCAGACTCACATTGGCTTTTCCAATCCAGATTTCAGGTTAGAAAGATGATGGTGTTCCTGCATTCATGCTTCCTTCCACCGTCCTCCGAGGACCTCTAAACAAGGGGTGGCTATAGGACACCACCTCACAATATATGCATTCAAGGAAGCAAAATATAGATTCAGATCATGAGAAATCTATAAATTTTGTTGAAAATAAATGTAGCATGAGTGACTTACCATCTTGGGTATTGCATTTGCATCTACACTGAGTCAGTTTTTCCTCCAGAATACACCAGCAGAAGGAGCCCACATAAAGAAGTCCTGGAACACCTCTGGAGGCTATACAGCTACAGGGGAGTTGCAGAGTTTATCTGCAGGGGGAGAAGTGGGTGGAGCTTAGAGCCTCTGCAGGTGCAGAACTGGCTGGAGCTTACAAAGCCTGCAGGAGGCAAGTGAAGAATGTATAAACTGTGCTGAAAGAAGCTGGCAGAGTTTGTCATCTCTGCAGGAGAACTATGCAAACTTTACTTGAACTAGAGAATTCTTGTGAACTGATTAAAATAAACACAAATGCATCCAGTCTAGAGTGAACTGTTTAAAAGCATTAGAGATAATTATCGTTAATCGCAAAGTGTCCAACTGTGCTAGGTGCATTATAGACATATGATACAAGAGAAGTCTTTCTCCCCATCTATTTCTTTCACATAGGCATTAATCATGCAAGGGCAGACCAGAGTCTGACCCAAATCCAAACTTCCCCGCAACTCAGACTCAGAGCAGGTGTCCCGACCACAGCCCATCTCCAGAAAACCACCAGATCTGTGGGAACCTGCCCTCATCCACTTGGAGCTAAAACAATGGTAGCTGTGGGAGAGAGGAGATGACAGGATGCGGGGCTTGCTGGCCATGAGAGTTGGGGAAAAGCAGCTGGGTGGAGCAGAGTGGCTGTTCTGTGGGAGTGAGACTGAACTGGAGAAAAAATATAGGGAGATTAAATAAAGAACAAGTCTGATGTCTCTAAGCAGCCAGGAGGATTGTGAAATAATTACACAAGTGCTGGAAAAGAAAATGACTGGGTAAAGCTCCTGCTCCCCGGGGGACTCTGATCTGTCTGTTTATTTCAGATGCTTTATAATGTCTCCTAATCTCAGACAAATGAGCCCTGCTTCCCTCTTCTGCCTGCTTGGAAAGCCATGCAGCTTTGGGGGAAGAGGCTGAAATGTAGGAGTATAAGCCCAGATCCTGCTTGATCACTCTTGGGTTCCCTGTGCTCATTAAGCAGCCAGAGCAATGAGGCCAAGGGAAGGGTCAGAGAACAGAGCAGGCTGCACAGCCACCTGTCCCAAGGCCAGCCTCAGTGCTGCCTGGGAAAGCCCTGATGCTGGAGCAGCTGGATGGTGCAGGCTACTCATGAGCAAGGAACCATCCATCAGGGAGGAGAAGAGGATACACCTTTCCAAGCAGCAGAGAGGAACCAGTGTTGTCACATGACTGTTTGGATTTTATTTCTTAAAATAGTCATGTCTAGACTGCTGGGTTGCAGGGATGGCATGAAAAATATAAGTCACTCTACCTTATGAGCTCACTTTCCAAGGGTCAAAGAAAAAGAATCCCAAGATGCATTATTTTCAGCCAATCTCAGGATTTTTTGGTCCTGAATCACAATTCCAAATACCTGGGATTTGTGGCTTGGGTACCATCCTTCTCCAGCCCTCCCCATGGTCCCTTCAAATCAAACACAATACAGTACATGGGAGGCTGGTGCACAGCTAAGAGTTTTCCCTATTTCAGGCACTTCCCTGTGCCATCAGCCCACCAGCTCTGATCCAGGAGCACCATGTACATCTAATATATTCTAGACATCACGATGGTCTCTTGTCAGGTGCTCTTTCTGGCTTCTGTTCCTCAGGATCACCCTGGCCATTCTGACAGCTCAGCACTGTTGCACATTGAGAAAGGACACCAGCGTCCTACTGCTTTGTGCTACTTGGGGGGAAATAGCCTTAGCAATGCCAGAGGGACTGAATGGCATCTCCTGGGCAAGTGCTTTTCCCAGCTCTTCATGGCATGTGCCCCTGTTCCATGGAACTCAATAAAGATGTTTTACAATGCCACGGATTCTAAATAGATAATTACATGTTATAACTACGTGATTGAACAGAGTTACACTCATTATTTCATTAAGATAATTAAGCAAATACTCAATGATAATTAGCTAAAAATTACTTTGGAGAGAAAAGAAAACCCAGAAAAGAATAGGAACATGGCAAAAGCTACCATGAGGCAGTGAGGTAGGACTGACTGGGAGAAGAATCATGTGGTTAAATCCCCACCTTGGGACCCAGATGACAGACTTTTAGTTCCTTGTTCTGTCAAAATGTTCAGTGTGTGATGTTGAGCAAGTCCCCCCCACATCTTTCTGCCTTCAGTTTCCTCTAAGTAAATCTATCATTCCTTGACTCTCCTCCCGGTCCTACTCCCCTCCCCAATGCATTCACAGGAAAGGATTGCAGGACACTTTGCAGACCAAGCATAAAAGGTTCATTTAATAAACCATTGACACCTGTATGCCATTAAAATAAAACACTGTAGCCATACTGCATTAAGAAAACACAGGGATGAAAGGGGAGAATTATGTAGTGTCACCTCTTTTGTCCTGAACAATCTGGCAATAGTCAGGACTATGCCAGACTCTTTCCAACAGCAGAAACTGATACTAGGAGTCATGTACTCCTTTGGCTCAGGCCTGTTTATTTACAAGGAACATAGAAAAAGTCCTGTTTGTCTGAAAAACCATAAGCTTTTTGCTTGCTCTCATCTTCTAAGTCTGCTCCTCCAGCAGACCCTATTCCTCAAAGAGCTCAGTATCTCCGCTTGCTTGCAGGAACTTAACCAAGACTGCATCTCTTGCCTTCTGGTCACTTTTTGTTACCTTCCTGGCTCCAATACACAGAGAAACAAATGCAGCTGCTACCAAAGAAACCCCTCAGCCTACATGGTTAGTTTCTAATCCATTCTATCATGTGGTCTTTTGCATTGGGCAGTGGCTTCCAACATAAGTTCATACATAACTGAAAAAAGGGGAAAGAGGTGGTTAGCTCTGTTAGTCTGAAGTCAGACAGAAGTTAGAGTGTTTTGGCTATGGGGGCACAGAATCACTCATAAAGTAATTTTTGGTGATAATTCTTGCTTACCTAGATACTTAGGATAACCTTTTTGAAGCCTCATTAGCAAGGCTAAAGAGTTGGCCCATTTGGAGGTCACTTGAGGACTTTGCCTGGAAGAGCATGCTGCAGGTAGATAAACTGGCAAGGGTAGAAGTTTGGACTGGCGTATTTTTCAACATGAGCAATCACTTCTCCGAAGCAGATAACATAGCAAACCTGCTGCTCACTCAAAAGCTATTTGTTTGCTGCTGTGTCCTGGGAAAGTTGCTGGTCTGAACTCCGATGTCCTCTCTCAGCCCTCTGTTACAACATCCAGTGACTTTTGGGAGAGCGCTGTCGACTCCTGGGTTCAGAATTTGGCTGTGCTCCATATGTACAGTTTTTAAGATCTGTGCTAAGGTGGAAAAAGCTTAGAAGCTTGTTGGAAGAGTCAGATTTTAGTGACCTGGAGAGAAGGCTTCAGAAAGAGGCAGCAGTTTAAGCTAGCCGCAGGTTGTGACACATCTGTAACAGCTGTAAATCTGTGTCAGTAAGAAAAGTAGCAAGCTGTTTAGTTCACCCTCTCATTCTACATGCCAGCTATTTTTATACCAAGTAGAAACCAATTCATTGAAAACAGTCTGAATATAGGCACAGCAGCAACATCACCAGTAATACAGAGATCTGAGGCAATGTCATGGATAGGAAGCATCTTGTATGAATGCCCTGCAACTTGTCCAAGTGCTCCCCATTACAGAAAAAGATTATAAAATCAGCACAGACAGTATTGATTGAAAAGGACCAACCAGTCACCCGCCCCCTTTCCCATCACCAGCCAAGACAAGATTGTTCCCTACAATTTATTTTCCATTCGTCAATGAACAGTTCTCAGAAAATGTCAGATCAATGAAAGAGCTGCTGTATTTCTTTTTAAAAATGTCTTCTGTTTGGAGATTAATAGCAAAAATTAGGCTGGATTGGTATGCAGCATGTGGTGATGTCAGGGTGCTTTTTTCACTCCAGTCTAGGTCGGAACAGTGACCAAAAATTGGTGCCATCTGGTTGCCCATATGAAATGAGTTTGATGGATTCTGTCCAGTTTGCAACGGAGGAGAAAGTGCTGAGATTCTAAATATTTCAGGATAGAGACTGCATCTTCCTGTGGGCATCTGGAGTGAGAAGTGAAGGCAGGGCCTAGCCCACTGTGGGTGAAACTACACTAGAAAGAATTGCAAGTGGCCACACAACACAAATTCAGCAAATGAATTGTGCCCCACCCCCAGTCAGGCAGATTCTTGTTGGGCTGCTGTGGCCAAGTATGGCTCTCTCTTCCGCAGGTAGTCCCACCAAGGCAGGGTTGGCAGGAAGGGGCATAATAAGCTTGTGCTATTTATCCTGTGAATACAGAGAAGAGGTCAGTCTCATGAGCTGCCATCTTCCTCCAGCTGTAGGTCTATGGAAGCAAAAAATCAAGACAAGAAGTGGGTATTCCGAAACCTTCAGGAAAATTTGGGCAGGACCACCTGGTGGAGATCACTGCTGCAGCTCCACTGCATCAGAGCCAAGTCCCCAGTCATCCTGACACTACCCTGGAATCAACAGTACCACAGCAGTGCAGAGATAGTCTGACAGGACCACAGGTCTTTTTCTCTGCTCCAGAGGTGTCAAACATCTGGCCCATAGACCGACCCCCAAAGCCACGTAATCTGGCCCACAGGGCTTCTAGAGGGGCCGGACCCTGGGGCGCGTGCTGCCAGTCCCACCACCCCAGGCATGCAGCAGGGCTGGGGAAGCACGGCAGCCAGACTCCATTTCTTGGTGGTGGTGGCTCCTTCTGGCTGCCACTGACTGCCCCAGACCCTGTGCCCAGGCACCCTGGCCTGTCTGCCCTGCACCCACCACCAGGGGTGGGACCTGCACAGGTAGGACACTCAGCTAGGCGGCTGGTATAGGACCGCAGGCCAGCAGAGACCTATGTCCAGAAGTGAGACAGGCAGGCAGAGCCAGGGAGACCCCGGGATCTTGGGGTGATTACAGTGCAGGTCTCCATGGAGACTGGCTGGGACCTGCATGGGCAGGTGAGCAGGATGGGGCCAGGATCTTGGGGTGGTGCCAGGATGAGGCTGGGTCTCAGGGCCGAGCCATGAACCACTCCCTGCACGCCCCTGCTCATGGAGCCTGTGCCC